TTGCCCAGTTTCCACACATATCCCGCCTTACGTATTTATAGGCTTTTTTTTTTTCCTACTCCTAACACACAGGATCTTCATAAATTTCCTTGTTAGCATAAATCCTTGCAGTCTGTTATTTCTGGGGGGAGAAGAACAGAGACGTTCACTTTCTCCACTCAGTGGGTTTTAAAATATGCTTCCTTAAGTTCATCCTAAATATTGCTGGAAGCAAAAAAACCCCTCCGACTCTCACTTTGGAGCTGTGGCATTGCTTCAGCAGGGCTGAGTCATCAGCCGGGACGGACGGGCATGCTCCTGCCTTCCTCCTCCCTTCGGGGGTACAGGGACCCTGCTTCCCAAGTCCGACACCTCCAGTTCCAGCACCGCCCTGCAAGCAACTTCTCCACCTTCCCAGGCCTTGGAAAAAAAAACCCAAAATGATTTAAATAAGCCCCAGCCCATTCAGTCTCTCTTTGTTTCTCCTCTCTCTGTTAATTCACATTTATCCTCCACCAACTTTGGAGGGGCTAACACAGAGTAAGTCACTGGGCAGAGCTCGTCTGTACATGGAGCCCGTCATCTTCTAGGCTTCAGCAGAGCTGCTCGGAGCAGACTCACACGTGTGCTTCCATTTTCAGGTACAGCTCCCCACCGCTCCGCAGCGCAGAGAGGAATTAATCACTCCTCCAACAAACCACCAACTCACAATTTCTTCTTTCGGATGCACATTCCCAGCTACAAATGGGTTCACCAGAGCTGAAACTCTTGGAAGAGTTTTAGCACACAGGAAGTGAATTGATTTCAGTCGAAAAAAAAAAAATCATTTATTTTGGAAAAATCTAAAGCAGCATCTTCCCTGGTTCCTTGCTGCTGGTGCAACCCCTCTCGCCAGTCCCTGCTGTCCCCACTCTCCTCCTGCCCTTCTCCCATTCCCAGTTCTCACTTCTCCTCTGGTAGCACTTATTTCTCCTCTTCTCTCTGCTTGGGTGCATTACCAAGCACCAAGCCGCTCTCATTTCTCCTATCTGAATCCGCCCAGTGCTGAGCATCCCCTAACTCCAGGCACCAGCTTGGACGGTCCGTGGCAGGAGGACCAGGTGCAGGATGTGGTCCTCCAGCACATTGCAGAACTAAAGGGAGGTGGGTTGCACATGGACACCCGTGCTCGGCAAGGAGCCCTTTCTCTCTGGAAAATCCTGCCACACACAGGGCTGAGCCTCGCAGGCAACATCGGTTCACAAAGGCATTTCCATACGAACAATGAAACTTTCTGCGCAAACACTGGTATGACTCCCGATTAAGCGAGGAGTAACGAGCAGGCATGTAGGGACACATGAGACAGGCTCTAGTGATGAGTGGCTCATTTTGAGGAAAAATAGCTATCATAAGAGCTTGGCACTGACTGCTGCAGGCATAGTCGTTGTTAAGTATCTTCAGTGGGGACACCCAGCCGGCGTGGGACCACCGCACAGTGGCTGGGGACTTTGCTGTGAGGTGGCAGTGAGTTGCACCCATCACTACTTGTCTGCTCCTACAGCTAATGACCCATCCTTATTTATTACTGCTCCAAAGGAAACCGATGCCCCAACGTTTCTGCACTCTCTAGGTGGAGAAGCTGCTCCAGACCTGCAGCAGCCACGAGCGATGGTCACATCAGCGTGGAGTCCTACGGGAGACTCCCAAGCAGCAACACCACCTTTTACCCCCCTACCTCCTACCCCTCCCCTCCTGCACGGTCCTTAGGTCCTCCAGAATTTAATGCCACCACTAACGAGAACTCTGGTTGCTACTCGTAGGAATTCATGGGACTTTTTTAGCCGGAAAGACAGACTGACGCAGTGTGCTGTGCAAGGGGAGCGCTGAGGAGCAGGGCTATTTCTTGGACTTGTAAGAGAGGGTCCTTCACAGGGAAGGTGAGAGACAGCCCTGTGGGATTTAGGGGAAGGCAGGGAAACCCAAAGCCCGTGGCCCACAACATCTGCTCCAGCACGTCCCCACTGTACTGAACCAGTTCCCGCAGCAGCAGCGCAGCTCTCTACAAGCCTGGCAAGTCTAACGGGTACAGCAGCTTCTTGGCATGTGGTAGAGGAGCCAAGTCTGAGGGGAAGGGGAAAAAAAGAAAAATTACTACAAGTGTTCCACCAATTATGAGTCACGGGGCTGAGCTTTTGTTTCTGCCTTGCTGGATTTTGCCCTTTCCCTGGTATTCCCCCAGCTCCATCCAGGCGAGCCACGGGGACGCCAACACCGGCCAAGGCTCTGCCGGCACCCGGGGGACAGGCACAACCCTGGCCAGGGGAACCACCTGGGCTCAAAATACAACTCCCAAAACAGCAGGTTTTCTTCACCTCTGCTCCCCAGGCATACGTGGCTGCAGAAATAAATCTAATGCGGAAAAGATGGAGCCCCTCTTCGTACTCCCACAAGCCTGAATGTGACACTGCTTGAACTCAGAAGATGGAAACTTCAGGATCAAACACCTCCAAGTACCTTTTCCCACCAACTCAGATCTTCCCAAGCCATTGTACCTCACTGAGAAATCAGGAGCATCCCCAGTCTGAGGGAACTGCTGTGGCTGGACGCTGATCCTTGGACAGACAGCTTCATTTCATGACCCAAATGCTTTGAACCTCAGATGAAGAGGACCCTGGGGTATTATCCATCGATCTAGTTCATGACGCAGAAGGTCGCATCCACACAACTATTCACAACTTGTGCTTCCAGTTAGCATTGACTGTTACTCCGAATTTTATAGTGACCCTGCTGGTTCATTGAAGACTCTTTCCTATTTTTAAGAGCAGTATTATAGCCATGAAAAGGTCTACTTCAAAAAGAGGGTTTGTTGGGTTTTTTTAAGTTTATACATATGACAGAGATGATCTTTTTGACTTCAAGCTAAAACTTCCTGTTTAGAAGTTCATCAGGTAAACGAGTAACCGTAGAATGGTCCTCTTTGTTATCCAAAATTGAATTTTGTGGTTTTAGTAGGAAAAGCCTTTTTGATGATCAAAGCTGAAGCAATAAATAGTAGTGGCTTGATGCTAGATCCAAAATGTACTTATTTTTGGAATGGGAGTTAAACGCAGATTGAGCTCCTTCGGTACACACAAGAAAAGGCAGGGAAGACCCACATGCTTTGTGTATCATTTACACAGGCCTACATTTCAAGCAGACCTATTAAACAAGTTGAAATGGAGAATAAACAAACTGAAATATGGCAGATAGACTAGAGTCTAAGTGGTTTTTTTCCTTTTACTTCCCTGTGATGACAAGTATGGGTTAACTTCAGTGAAGCTCTTACCCTCTTTCAGCAATCGTGAGCACTGGGGAAAAATAAATCATACAGCCCCAGACTCTTATTAAAAGTTACACCATTGGAAGCTACACAAGGGGAGAGGAGGTATCCGATTTCAGTACAATCTCAGTCACATGTTATCATTATATTGTTCAAGTAAAAGTTAAAATCTCTTTTCTATTCCAGAAAATCCACCAGATGTCCCATAAAGGACTCAGCTGTGAGAGAAGCTAAACCATTACATCCTTAGGAACCCCGGTTTTCAAACTCGGCTGCTATAATTAATGGCAATTATCAAGTTACAATAAAAGCCACGGGCATGGGGAGCTTTTACAGACGTGTATCCAGCCTGAGGAATGTTTGTTAGGAATTGCAAACACATATTTATTATAGCACAACCCTGAACGATCCAACTCCTGGCTATCAATTGCTCCCCTGCTATGGACACTTGGCAGCACAACAAAAGCAAGGCGGGCCGATACACGGGATTCGGCACGCGGCAGCACCACGGCAAAACCGACTGCGGCAGGAGAACCTTAAAGGAGAAGGGAAAATCCCTGGAGGGAAACGCGCCACCATGCCATGCCACTGCGGTGCCGTGCTGTTAAAATGCTCTTTAAAGTGCTGCAGAGTCATGATGGGCTTAAACATCCGAAGGAAGCCGCAGGTCTCACCAAACCGGCCGTAAACTCTTGCAGACAGAGAACAAGAAGAGAAAAGCCGCAGCTAACGGAACAGTACCCCGAAGGTCCCCTCCACCACCATCAACTTACAGCATCCCCCAGAGAGAGCGGCAAACCCCATCCACGCGCTCAGCAATCCAGCAAGTCGGCACCAAGGTGCCCAAGTCCTACCCCACTGCAAAGCCCAGCCCAACTGCTGAAGGAGCTACTTGGGGCTTCACCAGGATGAAGGTTTGTCTGTCTTCATCTTAGCTCTCAGACCATTAACCAGGTCATTTCTTACATAGAAATTAAACCTGGTCTTACAGACAGGCCCCCCATGCAGTCAGCCCCCAGCCTGGGACAGGACACAACAGGGGAAGAACATGAAACGATCACCGCAGCCAGAGCCCAACGCCAAGCAAATGAAAGCCTCAACTCTCTACCCGCCTGCAGGTAAAACCACCCCAGGCCTTACAGAGCACCATTAAATGAATGAAAGGCTGCAGGGGTGGAGCAGAGCAAAACCCAGGACCTAATTAAGCAAAACTTTGTTCAGGAGCTTCAATGGCATCGTAGCTGGGAGCTCTGCTCATGAAAGCATGGTTTGCAGTGTAGGGCCACGACCCAACAGGTAACGCAAGCTGGATGGTCTCAGCAAGAACTACCACAAAGCAGCATCGTTTGAAATGGCATCACCATTCCTGCCATGAAAGTGGTGATGGCATACAGCCCAGCCCCACACCAGCCCACGACCCCGGGGCTCGAGCGAGACCTAGGCGACTTCCACGGGGGACATGTGCAGCTCCGTGGCCACCTCCCAGACGTCCCCACTTGTCCCAGCATGCTCATCGGACAAACAGCATCTTATATCAACCCACAGAACGCAGACATCTCTGAACAATCAACTCAAATAGCTGCTCTTTTTTTTCCTTCTTTTCACACCAAGAATATAAACCAACAGCAGCACCACAACCCCCATCTCCTCCTGCTGTCCCAACCCCAGCCACGAGTTCCCCGGCGCAGACCATGCATGCAGGAAGGTGCAAACATCTGCCAACCTGAGAAGTCTCCGGGCATGCCGTTGGGCGAGTTTGTAGCCTCTGTTTCAGTGTAAGACAACGTGGAATCTGATAGATCTGAAGGGGGGGGGGGGGGGGGGGGAGGAAAAAAAGAAGCATTTTTAGTCCTCCTGCATTTACAAACGCTACGTGAGCACCTGTGGCTCTTTCGCGTCCCATTACCAGCCCACCTCTCCCTGAGAGAAACTCTCCACCAGGCCAGAAAGCAGCGATTAACTTTGTACCTCTACCATGCAAATGCAAAGTTTGAATTGCTTCGACCACAAAAATAACTGCAGTTAAGTTGATCAAACAAGTAGGAACTTGGTGCTTACTGGATAAAGTTACATTAAGCCTCTAAACAATTCATAGTTACTATACTTAATTATCACCATTAAAATTCTTGAAGCTGTTTATTCTTGCTTCCTTCCTTCCTTCCTCTTTGCTGAAGCGAAGGAAACTTTGTTTTAACAAGTTAAGAGTCTTTGTTATTCTCTCTTGCTTACACCCCTCTAATTAAGTGCTCAACTGTTTGCTCACAGATTAACTATTATTTTTCCAATCAAACAAGCCAGTGAAGCAAATTTCAGTCCCTGACTGTTGTTTTAATAAAGTCACGTGTCACACACTATCATCTCTCCCTGCAGCACAAGCAGTTTCTAAAGGGAATTAACTTGGAAGGGGGAGCGTGAGGAGGGACAACTCCTTTTTTTTCCTCCATACCTAACAAAACAAAACAAAACAAAACAAAACAAACCCCATGACTGGCAAATTTTGCTCTGCAGGATGCTCTGATCACTGCCCCATGTCACAGAACGGCTGCAGGGATGAAGGAGCCGGTCCCTCCGACAGGCGTGCACGCGCCGGGTGCATGAGCAGCTGCGTTGCAGGCAGGTCGCAGGCAGCTCCCAGGCCCGGCAGGGCAGGGACCTTTGGCACCGGGCAGCTCCCGCCTTCCCCCAAGGCTGGGTGGGACAGGCAGGCACGCTGCCCCGCTCCTATCGCCCTGGCAAACCCTGCCTGTCTCCCTTGCCACCTCCCTGTCCCTGCCCGATGGGGAGCGAAAGCAGCTCGCCTCACCTTGGTCATTATCCCCTCTGTAAATCAGAGCCACTGACTATGCGACCAAGGCAGAAATCCCACACTCCCAACATGGCCACAGTTGCACCAACCCTGGCAAGAAACCCAAGAGGGACGTGGGATTCCTCCCTTCCCTCCCGCATCTTTGCTTCCCATTTACTTGAGCAAGAAGCGGGCACTGAGAAAGGACGGTCAGGATGCAGCAATGCCAATTCAAAACATCTCCAAGCCAAAGTGCACCACGCAGGACCAGGCTCCAAGGCTGTGCTGTGCCAGGCTCTCCAGCAGCCTTCGCTTCGCCTTCGCCCAGCCTACCCACCCAAGCTGCTTTCAGTAGCTTTTTTTTAAAAAGCTTTTATAATTCATCAGGAAAAGTGAAAGGCCATTCAGAAATTATACAGTGACGAGTTTCAAAGAGTTTATGTCTCATTTTAATAAGGAGAGGAAGAGTAATAGCCGGTTCCTCCAAGGCGCTGCGCAGCCAGGGCTTTATGGAAATGGCACCCAGGAGCTCCGACTCCCCTTCCACTCCGTCATCCCGCAGATTACACACGCAGACAAAACATGGCGTCTGGTAACCTTTCATTACGCCTTCATTAAAAATAGCGCTTCATATTATTTTGGAAAACATGCATGTGTCTACACAGTAATTTGGTATGATAAACTGACATCCCTTTACTTCTTAAAACCCGTCAGCTGATGCTTGCTCAGAAATAATGAGCAGCCATAAAATCCTGACTTGTTGGCTTTTGCCTGACACGCCATGTAGGGATGTCTTAGAACCAACACCAGGACTGCACCATGAAAGAGCTGCCGGGAGATCAAAGCAGAGAAAACACATACCCAGTGGCTTTTGCTCATCATTAGGAGACAGCCGAGAGTAGGGAGGTGGTGGAGATTCTGGAAAAACAAAACTTTATGTTAGTGCTGTGTTCGGTTTATCAATGAAACCCTCGCGCTTTCTCTTTCAGGGTAGGAACTCTTCCAAGGTTATAAACACCCAATGGAAGAAAACCCACTTGGAAACAACTCAAGACCGAGAGTCTTCCAAACCTTTCAAGAATGGGGGTTCCACCTTGACCTTTCAAAGTGGGCTTTACTACTGAAAATGCTGCAGTTCTCCCCTACACCCCGTCCTGTATCCCTGCCTCGGCACCCACAACCTGAAGCACACAAAATGGCACATTGCTCCCAAAGAATGATGCTTTCATCATCTGTGCTGGGAGACAACCCTCCAACCGTGGCTCGAACACACATGGACCTAACAAGAGCTCCCCGAACACATTACAAGGACTGAAAAAGGGTGTCGGGTGATGAAAAGACATTCCTCTCTTGGCACATGAAGCCTGACACCAGGGACCAGGCTGGCTTCAGTCAACAAAGCATCAAAGTAACTTTGGTCCATCCCTACAAATCCCATGGCACATGAGCGGCTCAGCAGCAGAGGCCTCCCGTGATCCTGCTCAGCCTCTCCTGCCCCACTCACCCTGACCTCCCTTCAGCAAAGCTCCCAAGCACACACTCGGCTTTAAGCAGCAGCACATCAGCGGTCATGCGCTTAAAGTTAAGCAAGTCCGCAGAAGTGCTTTGCTGAATCAGGTCATCTAACTGGCTCTTGCTGTCCTTCTGAGAGTCAAGACCGTGCAAAAGGCTGACGAAGGTCCTCCATCAACTTCATGCACTGATTACAGGGGTTTTTGTCCTTCTGAATTATGGCAGTGATGTGTTTCTTGAAGTATAACTTGCTAAAATTGAGGAGTGTGCAGCTGGCTGGGCTATCTCATGGCACCGACAATGAGCAGACACTGACTTCAGTGAGAAATTGTACTGAAAAGTCAACGGCATCACATTGACCCCAGACTACTGAAACAAGGGTGTGCTCCCGAGTTCCCACACGGATTCGAAAGCAAGGCACTCAGTCCAACAACTGCAGCTCAGCTTGGGTTAGTTCATTAGGAACAACCTCAGCATCCCCCGTGTGATGGCTCTGGGATGGCCTGTGGTCATTTACTGCTTCTGAGAAAAGGTTCCTTATCTCCCCTAACCGAGCAAGCTGTCCAGCAGCAAGATACTCTTCTCACAGGGCACTTAAGAGTCTCAAAATAAAAAATAATGGAGCCAATGCCCCAATCTGGATTTAACGGCCCGACCTGTGCCGCGCACAGGGGGCTGGTCCCACGCTAGCGCCAGACCTCCTGCCACAGGGGACTTCTTCGAAGCACTGTGGCGTTTTCACACTGCTCGGCTAACGTCACCCCACAGTAAGCTGGATGACAAACACGAACGTGCACCGAGAGCGGACGGTCTCTGCAGGGAGCCATGCAAACACTTGTGGAAAAGGGCATCAAGGCCTTTCCCGGGCTCCTGCCACCATCCCCCAGCACGCGGTCGGAGTGGGTGGGTCCCTGGCACAGTCACCCACTACCAAAATGATAAGGATCCTCTCGATAAAAGCTCTCCTCTCTACTGCTCCCTGCACAGGGCTTGCAGCCATACGCCGCTGGGAAAACAACTACCGCTGCAGGAAAGCAACCGGGAAGCTTTGCCCGTTTCTAAAATAAATGCACGGTTCCTACAAATGCACACCTACTCCAACTGAAGCAAAAAAGCTGCTTCCAGCCTCTAGCGATCTTCGGGGGAAGCACGCCCAGCACAGAACTTTCTTTCAAAGAAGCGATGCAAAGCGAGGCAGGATCCCGGATTGCAAAATAAATTAAAAAAATCAAAGCTCTTGCCAAGAGAGGGACGGTCAGCAGGAGGTTGGTGTCCTCCAGGATCCCTCTGCCCACAGTAAAAAAAGTAAGAAAAGCCCGAGAAATTCATGAGCTCCGGCTCCCCCCGCTTCCACGCGGGTTCGGCGTTCCCTCGTGGCCAGGGC